CGAGAAGAGTGAAATAGTACTGTCAGAATTACACTGATCTATTTATCAGCATATCGAAAAAAAGATCCTATTCATTTAAAACCAGAGGATAGCTAATTCTCCGTTTCTTCATATGCTAAACGAATTAATAAAGAATGAGCTAAAATTGAGAGAATGTAAGTCTATTCTACGTTTTCACTGTTCTAATGGTTCATTTTTAGAAATCATTTGTACTGGAATGCTTCTGAACACTCCAGTTTATGTAAAAATATGATTGCACTGTCCATTTATTTGAACTGGAGCATATTTGTGACAGATGTGTTCACAAAAAAATATTCATTCGTGTTTCCTATAGAGGATCTAACATCCTTTCATTCTTTCAAATGTAGAGGTAAACCTCTTCGAACGTTGTAAAAGTCGCTTTTTGTTTTAATGTCTTTACTAGAATTTTTAGACTTTTGTATTACTTTCATATTTTTATTCTAATTTTAGAAATTAAAATAATTACGCATTATCATGTTATCTTCAATATTTGTCTTATTGATTTTTCTTCTATTATTTTTTGTAATAAATTGTTCGAATATTGTTTTAAAATTAAATTATTTATCTGATAATTTTTATCCATATTATAAGGTTGTCTATGAAAGAGAAAAACGTGAGACTATTCCAATATTTAAAGATAATAATTTAGATGATAAATTATCCGTAGTCATGTTTCATAATAATAATAATAATAATTTATCAAATAAAAATATTCTTCAATTGTTAAAACATGATCGTACAACATATTCATTTGACAATACAACAATTATTAATAAACGTGTTAATTATGAGTGTGATGAACATATTTATAATAAATTATACGCTTGTTTAATAAATGAAGAATCTTGTTAGTAAGTAAAATATAAAAATACAAATAAATATCCATTTAACATAAAAAAATATGTTTTAGTAATTTTTCATTGTGTATAAACAATATACATTGTACAACATCAATTCTATCACATTCAAGTTTAATAATGAATTTATTGAAACATCTTGACATGAATAATTGTGAAACAGGTAAAAATTTGTATTTATATTCTATTATGTATATAACTTATTTTTTTATTTTAGACATCTTATGTTCACATGAAAAACGATTACACATATTTCGTCGACTTCTTAATCGTTGGACAACGATAAAGAGAACAAATTTTATTATTCATAACACTAGAGAACAAACAGATATTGATACAAAATATTATTGCAAGTATGTGATTTTAATTGATAGAAAATATGATCGTTACATGTTAAAATTTGATAAAAGCTAGAATAATAAAATGTGTATTAAACTCATTTGTTTTTTAATCTTATCTTTAGTACAATGGTCGAATTAATTAAAGAAGTATATAATCAAGTTGAACAAGAATGTCCATCGTATTTAAATAGCACACAAATATTTACTAAGCAGTATTATTGTCATTGTATGTTAAATTTATCATTTTTAGAATAATAATTATCGGGTTTTTTTTTTGTCTCTTTTAAGTAAAATTAACAGATAAATTTTCCTTGGAACATGTTTTAAACACAGTTTCAACATTTTCAATGATAGATCAAACACAAAAAGAAGCTCAAGTCAAAGTTCATACAGAACAAACAACAATAACAAATTCTGTCTCAAAATTCAAAGAATATGATGATGAAGATTTAAATTTTATTAGTTTAAATCGATTAGCTGATAATTCTACACAACAAAATGTCTTTGTTGTAAGTTATATATCGTCTGTCATATAAAAATAGTCGATTAAATTTAAATAAATTTGTTTTCTTATAGAATGATCATCTCTATTATAATGTATCGTACTTAATACCGAAATTATTATTTACATCAAATATTATCAATTTTGTTCGTGATAATGATATTAAGGGTCAAATATTTTCTCAAATTCATGCATTATCAAATAAACATCGTTCAGCTTTTGTACATAAAAACTTTTTATATGATTATATGATAATAATGTATTTTTATTTTATTTTAGAGCATGAGTCTATCATTTCCATTTCCATTTTACGGTCATACTATTAAGAAGATATTAGTTGCAACAGGAGGTAAGATAAACAATTATAATATATTTCTTCATATCTTCATTATATGTATTATTTTATAATATTAGTTATTTGAAACTTGTAAGTACAAAGAGTAAATATGATGAAATAGTGCTTATAACATTTCAAAATATTGTTTTTTTTTTTTATCACTTTCTATTATTATTTTGATGAATGTTATGGTATATGTCTATGCTTTGCTTTGCTTTCTATCTAAAAACAGCGATGCTTTTAATTGCTCTTATATTTTAAATGGTAATCATTAGTTAATAATTTTCTTTTTTCTTTTTATTTAGGTTTCATATATACAGGTGATTTAGTGTATGCCGCATTAATTGGTAGTACACAATATATTGCACCGTTTATGTCCGATTTTTATACATCATTTGAAGATAATCAATCCAAGATATTGTATCTTGATAATGGTACACATTTTATTGTTACATGGAACAAAGTCTATTTACAAGATCAACAAGAAATTGGTCCGTATACATTTCAAGCAATATTGCAAGATAATGGTAAGTGTATAAAGTCATTGAACTAATTATATCTTATCTGAAAAAAATTATAATTATTCTAGGTAATATTTATTTTAATTATGTTCGCATTCCGACAATAAAAATGTTTGTCAAACATCATACATTTCGTGTTGGTTTATCAGATGCCTTTATGTTAGAACGTCCAACATTACCCTTTCATATTGTTCGAATAATCACATTATATCATAAAATTGATGGTGATATAGATAAAATTAAAAATGGAACGTCGATTTTATTTGAAATGGATAACAGTAAAACAATTTTTGATATAATTAACGAAAATTCATATATATTTTTGTTTAGGTTGTAATACATTTAGTGATTGTACATCTTGTTTGGCTAATCGTAACGGTCGTTATAATTGTTCATGGTGTGATGATGTACAACGTTGTTCGGATGGTTATGATCGTCGAAGAAACGAATGGTTCAGTGCACAATGTCATCGTACTGCATCAAAAGATTACTGCTCGGTATTAGACTATAAAACAGCAACATCATTCAACGATAAACAAGGTACATCTACAGAATCATCTATAATTTTCGATGATATTCCTCTAAAACGAGTACACCAACAAAAACTATCACCGATAAAACCAAAAAATCATGTTCGTACAATTATCTTTAAATTAATCATTTCAATATTAGTTGGAGTATTGTTAGCCATTATGGGAGTTTACATATACGCATATAGACATCCAACATCAACATCAGGAATATGGCTTATAGAGGTAAGTATCATGTTTCTACTAGTAAGAGTAATTTTGGATGAATTTTACATAGACAAAGATAAAGTTGATACTTTGTATATCTATTTTAATGATCTTCTACTTCATCAATGTCATAAAATTAAATTAAAGGATGTAACTTTAATTGCATTAAATATGTAACTTTGATTTGAAAGTTTAGTCAAGTACCGATCCATTTTATGTTGTGACATTGCCTGTATTTATCTTCTATTCTATTAGCTATTTTTTTTTATTTTTAGCATCGTCCACAGAATTTTACTGCCCGATTTAAACGTTTTTCACATCGAAATGATACCATGATGTCATGAAAAAATTGATATTATTTTCTTTATATGATACACACATATTTCGATTGTTTTTCTCTCCTATATTAGGATTCGATTTGAAGGATAATTGTGAAATGTTTTTATATGTACAATTGTTTTGTTTCGAGTAAAAAACATTCCATTACTGTATTGTTAAATGAAAAGATTTTTTTTATTCATTTTTTTGTTTTATTTCGTGTACTACTTGTGCTCTGTCAATGATCAACCGAAATTGTGTGTACTTTTTGTCCCTGTATGTATATATACTATTGTATAATTGTTGTGGGAAAAATAGTCTGTTAAGTTAAACAAATAGCGTAACAAATTTTATTCACATTGTACAGAAGATTTTTCACTACGATATTCGATCTGACAAATATTATTGTGTCAGACTCAACAATGATTATAACTGTTGTATCATCATTTTAATAACTATCATCATAGACCCTTTTTTTTAAAATTTTCTGTCAAATCTCCAGATTAGTATAGAAATTATTTAGTTTTTGTTAGTTTTGTTTAACGATTGAATAATAAATATAATTAGAACGAGTTAAAACGGTGCTCGTGCTACATATTCAAAATATAGATTTATTTAACTTAATCAGCATCCATCAGCATACAATAGAATATTATTGTTTTGTATGCTATTCACGTAACGGACAAACACTCTTATACCTAAGATTTTTGTTTTGAAAAAATTTTCAAACAATTTCCGTTCATAATTTGTAATTTTTATTTTTTTAAGAATAAAAAATGAAAAAAATTCCTTTCATTTTTTTAACATTCATCTGTAAAAAAATACATATACGCGCACGTTACAAAATTTTAGTGTAAAAAAAGAAGATAATGACATTTAATATTTGCTAAGCATATGGGAATATTACATTACAAAATAGATTAAAATTACAGACAAACATAAACTCACAATGGCTCCAGGCAATAGTAATATGGACACAAATATACATATCAGACATTCATACCAGAGGCAAAAACCGTACAATTGAGAGCCAATATAGCCAACTAAGGTAAAAAGTTACTAACATAAATTAAAATTATATAACAAAATATAAAAATACAAACATGCTCATATATCACATTGTTAGTGGATACTGGTGCGAATAAATCTGAGTGAGTGAATTAAGTAATTGCCATATGTCAGCAGAAATTTTTGATAACGAGTGATAAAAGAAAAGAAAACAGATGCATGTATATATGCATACAGAAAGCCACTCTGTTCATTTACTTGTATTTGACATAGACTTTATAAAAAATAGAAAACAACTTCATTCATACATTCATTCATTCATACATTCATTCATTCATTCATTCATTCATTCATACATTCATTCATTTGGACGTTCTTGTGCCATCGATAATTTCCAATAGATCCCGTGTTTGGCTAATAATTCATCGTGACTACCTTCTTCTCGAATACATCCTTTATCTACCACTACAATCTTATCACTATTTCGAATTGTCGATAATCTATGCGCTATTGTCATACATGTTCGTCCCAATCTCGCTGTATCTAAAGCCTCTTGTACAACCTTGAAAAGAAATATGGAAAAATTTCATTCATTAGAAATATAATTACATGTCACGTAATTAACAAACCTTTTCTGATTTTGTGTCTAGAGCTGATGTAGCTTCATCGAGCAACAATATTTTTGGATCACGTATCAAACTTCTAGCGATCGCTATCTGTAACAAAACAAGGTACTGTCTAAGATATGTTAGCATACATAACCAAAACCTTACCCTTTGCTTTTGACCACCACTTAATTGACTTCCTTTTGATCCGCATAAGGTATCATATCTAAAATAATTAAAACAGACGATATGTTAGCGCACGACATCTACTCTATCCAATGTTCGTAAAATAAAGGAAAGAATCGGCTAAATATATTACCCTTGTGGTAATGATGTAATTGATTCATGAATATTCGCTTTTCTAGCAGCCGATTCTATTTCCTGATCAGATACATCTCGACTATTATCACCTAAAATGAACAAACTTTGTACAGTACTAATCTTTACTCTAGAGAAAAATTTTCTTAAAATCTACCATAAGCAATGTTTTCTCGAATAGTTAAATTGAATAAAACTGGCTCTTGCTGAACTAATCCAATTAATGATCTTAACCAAGTTAAATTTAATGATTTCACATCGTGTCCATCCAAATGCACTGAACCGCTTAGTGGATCGTAGAAACGTAATATCAGTGATACACATGTCGATTTTCCACTTAATAAAAAGACAAGTTCGGTTCAAATAATCACCATTTAGTTTAATTTACAAAGAAAACAGAAATAGATCGAAAGAAAAATACAAATCATGTTTACACAAATAACAGAATAGGACCGACGCACTTACACGACAAACATTTAGATTCAAAAATAAAGGTGTAAAGTTTCTAATTCTACATTCTATGTAACGTGTGATACTTGCATCCGCCTCTTCCGTGCTTTTTATACCTTTTGAAAAAATCAAGAGTCTGTTTTCTCTGTGTATATGACTTGAGAGTGAATAAATTCAGAGTACGATAACGTGACGTCATATACAGAATCGAAAAGCTGCGTGTGGATATTACGCTTTACCTTCCAGACGGCCCAACGATTGCTAATGTTTGACCAGCATAAGAAAAGAGATTAAATCCTTTCAAAATACGTAGTTTCGGTCGAGCTGTAAAACAGAAAAAGTATAATTTAGCCAAGAATTTGATAAATTCCATTTACTTCATACCTGGATAATGAAATCTGACATTTTTAAAGTTTATATCTCCAGTTACTTTATCCTAGAATGTCGAAAATAAAACTGAATAGGTGAGGAGACAAGTGAGACAATTATCCATGTCTAACCAATTTTATGCCTGATGGATCTTCAGGATTGATTTTTGACCGTCGTTTGTTAAGAGCTAAAATTCTCTCAGCCGAAGCTTTGCCTTTAGCGTAGTCTGGTACCATAGCTGTCGATCGTCCTACACTCATGGCACCAAAGGTAATTACAGAAAAAACCCTAAATTAAGAAAGAACATCATCTATCATTCTAATTAAATCTAAATTATTATCACTACTTACCGAAATACCAACGAAAATTCCAGGCCCTCGTTCTTAATCAGTACAACTCCGTACCCAAAAGCAGCTGAATGTATAAAGAACATTAATGAATTGGCAAGTCCTGTGCCCAGTGCGTGTAATTGAAGTCTCCACATCGTTTGCCTAAATAATAATAAGAAAATCTAAAATAGTTTTTTACTTTGAAGAATAAAAAACAAGATGAAAAACTTACTTAAATTGATTATTAAAACAATGTTCATATTTTTGAATAAAATAATCTTCTTGATGTAGAGCAATCACGGTTCGTATATTATCTATTGCTTGTGTCGCATACTTTTAAAACAACACAATATTAGACAATATATCACGTAAAAACAACTATTAAAATTTCTCACCAAACCACCTTGCTCCGGCCACGAATTCCCATTGTTTTTCCCCGAATCGCTTTTTTTTTGTGCCATACGTTGTCCTTGAAGAATACCGGAAAAAATCATAAGTGGAACAAACAGAAGGATAATCAATGTTAATTTCCACGATGCTGCAAAGGCAATACTTAGCGCCATTATCACAGCGCCAACTAAAAATAGGCAGATTTTGGGCACTTTGGATTCATTTGAAACCATCGAGAGAACTTACCAGCATTGAGTATGACTCCTATACGAAGACCGGATAGACCTTTGAGTCCAGATGCATCTGATGAAAGTCTGGTAATAAGTGCTCCCGTTGAATTTTCATCATAGTCAAACCAAGCAATCTCTTGTCTCAATATTGAAGCGAAACTTAATATACGCATTCTAAAATGAAACGAGAAAATTAAAAATATAACAACATCAATTCTGTCTTTTTACCTCATGGTTAATTCTTCTCCGGACTTTGCAAAGGCAACACTGCTGACAAACTGACCAATACCACTGACAACGCCCACGGAAAATATTAACAATGCATTATTACGCGTTTCAATTTCTGCTTTCCCAACGTCTTGTTCAGCAAACAAACCATAGATATTTGAAAATAAGAGAGCAAATGCAGGCGTAACAGCTCCAACGACTATTGAGCCAATAGCACCAATTAGAATATAAAACCATTCTGGTTTATTCAATTCTAATATTTTGAATATAAATGGTTTTCCAGAACACTTTCGCGAGATACTCGATTTGTTATTTTGGTGAGTATTATATGAAGAATCTTCATGCAGGGAAGCATCGGATAAACCTGATTTAATTGAAGTAGCAGTCAACGTACGAGCTCGATGAACATCATCTAGAAAAAAATAACAGCAAACGATTAGCTCGTCCATCTAATCTGTATTTGTCAAATATATCACCTCTTAAAGCCATTAACATCTTTTCTTCTTCGGCTTCGTCATCAGATGAATCTTCCTCAAGATTTTTCTGTTTTTCTGTTTGTGCTGTTGCTAGCTCATAATACAATCCTTTTTTTTCCAATAATTCATTGTGTGTACCAAATTCGACCATTTGACCCCTTTCTAGGCTAATAATAAGATCGGCATTTCGGATTGTGCTCAATCGATGGGCAATAACGATTGTAGTTCGACCTTCTTTTGCTTTATCAAGTGCATCTTGTACAACCCTTTCACTTGTATTATCTAAAGATAAGTAATTTAACTGTTACTTATCATAAAACAAAACAGAATAATATACAATTCTAACCTAATGCCGATGTTGCTTCATCAAGTAGTAGAATTCTTGGATTTGAAATGAGTGCACGTGCGATTGCCACACGCTGTTTTTGACCACCTGAAAGTTTATCTCCGGATGATGTTTTGTAGTTCTAGAAATCAGAATATTAGTGGTAATATAATATCATCGATGAAAAAATTTGAATCGTACATCGGGTAATTCCATAATAAAATCATGTGCGTTTGCCATTTTGGCTGCTGCTATAACTTCTTCATCAGTTGCATCTTGTTTACCAAATCGAATATTGTCTTCGATTGAACCCGTGAATAGAACAGGTTCCTGTGACACGATTCCAATGTGTGTTCGAAGCCAGGCAACATTTAATGAACGAATATCACGACCATCCAATAGAACCTTAAAGACAAAATAAAACAAGTCTGAAGCTAAACATTTTGTAAAATATATCGACTCACTTCTCCACTATCAGGATCATAAAAACGTTGAATAAGTTGAATTATCGTACTTTCTACACAAATTAAAAAATCAAAAATTTCCTCGTGAGTTAAATTTGGTTGGCACTCACTTCCACATCCCGATGCACCCACAAGTGCTACAGTATTGCCGGATGGAATTTTTATGTTAATATTATTGAGAACCTAGGATAAATTCATCTATTTCGTAGAGAAACAAGTTTTAGCATTTTAAAAACATACAAGTGCTTCCGGTCTCGATGGATATGTGAATTTAACATTTCTTAACTCGATATTTCCCGTTAACACTGATGGTTTGTGACCATCGTTCTTGAATGCATCGATTTTTGATTTCTAAAAAAGTGTATTGTTATGTTAAACACCTAAATCAGTCTTCACCTATGAATGAACAACTCTCGTGGAAAATCAGTCAAAGTAATATGGCACACAATCCTGACAACGATATTCGGACTTCTCATATCTTGATAGCTAGTGACTATACCTTTTTTGTAAAAAATATTATTAACTCATGATCTACAGAAAATAAATATTTTGTCTTTTACCGAAATGTAGCCATGACTCTCCTCTATCGAAGATATGAATTTAATATGTTGATTGTTAGTGGTTACTAAAATACAGCTAATTTTAGATCGATGGTCATTTCTGAAATTTCAGATTCTTCCCAAAAAATTTATAAACTGAATTAATCGACCACTTGGTAGAAGTCTGCGAGACGATCCTAGTCCCGCCGGACTTTTAATGCGAGGGGGATTAGGTCTTTTTCAAAATAGTCTTGTATGGGACATAAAAATTTCTTAGTTTCTGTGTTTGTTTGTATATAGACACCAGTTCTGCGAGAAAGAACTCATAGAAAATTCTAAAAGTCTTCAATTAATACCACCCACACATGCTGTTCCACGAGCCACATTACTGACTTTCAAACTATCAGCGCTACTTTGAAAAAGTATTTACGGGATCGGGACCAAAAACAAGTTCTTTCTACGGGACCGAGACTAAAATTCTTTTTCTTCATGGGACCGGGACCAAAAAAGTTTTCCTTGCAAGCCTCTACCACTTTGAGTCTTGTGGTAATGTTTGTTATACGAAAAAAATGTAAAAAAATCTCATAGTACACTGAATTCGGTGAAGATACTGGTTCTGAGCTATTTTCATTGACTAATTAAAAATTCACAAATCACTGAAAATCAGTTAAAATGACTCAAAAATTTGGATAGGATATTCACACTTACATGCTGAGCAGAATTTTAAACGGTGATACAAGCAAAAACGTGTATTTTCATCGGTACAGTATTCTGCAAAATCAGATCAAAATCAGCGCAATTTTGAGACTTTCGACTAACGACGTAAGTAATGGAAGTCCATTTCTTTTCTGACTTCTTTGCACAAAACATAGATATAAAAATAACGGATGTATAAAGGTTGAATTTTAGTAGTTTGACAGATGAATGATATTTACTTAAACAGCACAGTTAGCTTATTAGATGCAGCTCGATATTAAAAATTGTTTATACTTTACATACTCTAGCAATCAAATCAAACACAAAACTTCCACTTCCAGATGCTTCAGCAATCGCTTGTATGTTCGGCACTAGTTGAGATATGCTAAATGTCGATTGCAAACACGAGACGAATATCTTAAAAGAAATAATGTGCTTGTCGAATAACTCTAAAACAAAGACGTGCATACTTACAACAATAACGGTCCCAGCACTATAATTCGATTTTTCAGTTCGAACGAGATGCGGACCTGTAATACAAAAATATATTATTTATAGGTATAATACTGAATAGAGATCATCACAGACCGGGGAGAACTGCGATCTGAGATCCCATATGTAAATAGGACATAATTTTTTTCCCAATTAGGTAATATTAAATGGCTGTAAAAAGACACCATCTTCTGTTGAAAAAGTTACTAGCAAAAATGGTTGTCCTTTAGCTAACTGGGATAGATATTACCAAATTGTATGTTGTTTCTCTGGACCAGTAGCATAAACCCCCTGTATAGACTGTGATGGAAAAAAATAGCCCAGGACGATCTCTGATGCTAAAATATTATTCTTACTAAGACGTACCATACCAAAATGTGACTGTAAACGCTATATAAATAGCAATACCGGCAACTGAATAAAAATAAATAATGTAATTATTTATTACAGTAAAATTGTAACAAATATAATATACTCATTTACATGCTTGACATAAGCCAAGATAAAATCCTTTTTTGATTCCAATACTTTTAGCATTGGTTAAATTTTTGGCAAATCTATTATAATTAAACAAAACTAAATGTGTTTATTCAGTAGTTAACATAAATTCTACTTACCGAACTTCTTCCTTTTTTTGACCGCTAAATGCAGTCACCGTACGAATAGCACCAAATACTTCTTGAGCCACAGCACTGGCTGATGAATACGCCTGAACTTCTTTGATCGTAAATGCAACAATAACCTTAAATATGACAAATAAGATAAAAAATTTTCTCATACGAATAATTATAATTGATGGATACTCTACTCTGACTGTAATATTGAAACCAATAATGATAAGTGGACTGACACTCATGAACACTAACGTTAGCTTCCATCCTTTGACAAAAGCAAATATCATACCGCCAATTAATCTTGACACTAATGAAATGAGATCTGCCACTTTATCTCCAAGACCATCTTGAATTTTATCTAAATCACTGAAGATAAATTGGTATGTTTTAGTGAAATGAAGAATAATGAAGACCAATAGTCTTACTCAACAAGGCGATTGCTGAAATATAAAAATAATTAGCGTAAATTAATGATGTTGAATAGTACATATAGAAAGTTGAACCGAAAATAACCGATGGTACTATTATCTATTTTCGGTTTAAATAAATAAATGCGAATATCTAATAAAATGAATAACTTACCTTAACTCTCCAGCATTGCGCACATCAAACCATGCGATTTCCTGATGTAAAATTGATCGAAATAATCGAAATCTAAATTATTTTAAAAAAATAAAAAATTATCAATCATTAGTACATCCAGTTTTTCACAAACCTAATTCGTCTCAGTTGCCTTTCAGCGGCAATCATCCAAAATGAAAATCCAATCCAATAGAGAGCAATGCTTGTAAACCCCAAAATGACATACCATTTGATTGTTCCTTGAATCTGACTGACTAATGCATTAAATGAATTTGCCGTTGTAGAATTTGTATTTTGTTCTATTCCAAGGTCAACTAAACCATTCGTCACTGACTGATACACTAACATCATCAAGGGAAACGTAGCACCAGTTCCTAAACATGCTAATGTACCCAAAAACATTAATAAAATATCGATTACATCAGCAAATTTATGCTAAAAGAAAAATATATAACGATTACAGAATTTTCTCTTTCAAAATGTAATCTATTTTAATATAAAACTAACAATTTCAAACACTTTTAATCGTTGAGCAGCTTCTTTTTTTGGTTTTTCCGATTTTTTTTTAAACGATCTAAAAAATAAGATATACTATCAGTTAATTTTTGAGCTATGATGAACAAATTTTCACATGTGTAAATCTATAGCAGAACGTAACATACAACGACAATCCTTGTACAGATAACAGACAGAACCGAGGTCGGTTGTATACTACTCGTTAAGAGTGATATCGACCGTTAAGTAATGGTACAATCTCAGTCCTTGTACATGATCTATGACAGAATATCAAAGTTTACTTACTTTGCTCGGTTCTGTCTGTTATCTGTACAAGGATTGTCTTTGTGTGTTACGCTCTCTGCTGCAGATTTATACATATGAAAAAATATACTATAGTCAACATTGTGTATGATGCATATGCTAAACTTACAGAAAACCTTTTGATTTTTCAGATGATTTCGGCAAACCATTGACATGAACATCCGATATTTTCACGTCAGGGTTGTATTCTTCGAATAATGTTTTTTTAAATTCAGTATCACCAATTGCAGCATCTTTCGGCAAACGATTCGATGAAGATCTATGTAAGAAATAACCACGTGTTTAGAAAAAATAAAAATGAACAGATTGCTGTTTGATCTTGCTTATTTATTAATGTTGGTCACTAACAAGAGGGAATCGTTCAGCAAATAAATCATACATTTCAAACTGCATTCATAAATCAATGATTATTATATAGGTGCTCGTAGTTAAGCTGTTAATTTACTTTACTCGTGCAGTCAGTGTTAATCTTTTTACTTTCAACAAAAACATTAGCGTCCACAAACCTTTATGCAAATTAGATCTTCAAGCTATATGTTATGTGATAAATGTCTCTCCTTTTGCTGTTTTCTTTCTCTGTCTGAATTATATATCTACCTTTTTCTGTTCAATTAAGATTCTCGCAACTAAACAAAAGTTCTAAGAAAAGATATTTCCTACTTTGTTAAGTTTCTGACATTTTACTTTTATTAAAATAGTATACAACCTTTCTCGATGAATGAATTTCTTGTTCTTTTTCATGTTGGTACAGCAACAATGATCGGTGATCACGTTTAATTTATTTACGCCAAATCCACATTCTTGGTTAATTCATAGTTGTTCAAAGTTTGATATTAAGTATAGAATTAACCGTAAGACATCAAAACTTAAATAGTTAAAAGCGATTGGGTCCACTATGAACACATAAAACTAGAGGATCGAAAGATGGAGCACCATACCACAATCAATTTATTACTTTAAGAGCTATATAGTGTTCAGAATTAGTTGAAGAAAACATCAACTAGACAAATGAGCAAACTATACAACGATACATACTTGGCATGCATTTATGCCGATCAATACCAGTAATACCGATATATTGAATATAATATTCAATTTTATTCAAGACATCAAGTATTCTGTTAAACACTAAGATATTTATCAGTCAAACAATTCGTACAGTCTGAAACAAATTGTACCTTCAAAAAAACGTGTTTTTGTTCAACAAAATGTTTATTATGAATCTTCTAGACGTGAAACTATCAAACAATAAGATAGTACACTCCCTTTTGGTAAATAAAACAAAAAAACAAAAATTTCGTAACCCTCACTGAAAGATCCATCAAGTTAGAATTGCTCTCAGGAAGTCATGGGTGCCCAAATCCAGTTTTTCGAAATCAGAAGAAAAACAAGAGTATCAGGCAGTTGTTTCTTGGACAAGCAAAACAAAAACATAGTTTTTATCAAAAAAAATTTTTTTGAAATATTTTTTGATGAAACAGTATTATCATTTGTTTCAGACTGCAGTACGGATTGAGGAAGAAGATTTTGATCCGATGGGTTCGGAAGTGCGCTAATCTCGTCTTCTTGTGATGAGAACATTCGATAAACACACAGCGAGCTCTTTCAGTGTACAGTTATTTAGACTCTTCATCCAGAATTTCTGTTTCTGAAACTGATAATCTCAGTTTTGGAAAAAACAAAATCGATGCAGGAAAACAATTGAAAATCAGACGAAATCAGGAGAAAATCTTAAAAATCAGTTCCTGAAACCAGAAGAATTTTCATCAGGAGAAAAGTCTGAAAATCAGGAGTCTTCTGGTCAAATCAGGAGAATTGGGCACTCTGTCCGCAGTGAACCAACGTCGGTAGTGATTAATAATTTTACGTTGAAAGTATGTTCTAACCGTATGTAAGGGATTTAAACGATGTCTAAAGTGTTTCTAAGAAGCGTCTCACTTGGTCAGGTTTCCAATTTGCTGGCAGGGTAGTTGACATGTAGTTCTTTCTTTCTTTATCGTAAAGATATGCTCATCTTCCGGGACTAATTATAGGTGAACTAAAGTTAATTTCAGGTCTCATCTACATGTGTTGTACACCTTTCTCCCAAATCTCCACGATCAGCTATAACCTAGAACGAGTAGCTGACTCGAACGAGAAAAATGGTGTGAAAAGAAAGAACTAGATGCCAACTACCCTGCGGTCAGACTGGAAACCCGATCGAGTGAGACACTTCTTAGAAACACTTTAGACATCGTTTGAATCCCTTATATACAGTTAGAACACTGCCCTAGTCGAGACTCCCGGCAAAACTCCAGCGGGAGTCCTAAGTTTATGAAAAACTCCAGCAGGAATTGTAAGGAGTCCTGATGACTCTCGCAGGAACTTTCTAAAGTGAAAAGTCCAACATGGAGTCATGAGGAGTCCCAAAAAAATTCTTGCAGGAGTCCTGTG